GGGGAGGAAGCGCTTTGTGCCCGGCGGGGGAGGGGGTGAAAGCGCTTTAGATAAAGGCTCTGCTCCACCGCCCTGCCGGGGGAACGSGAGTGGGGGTAAAAGAAATTAATAGACGAAATGTTTTTAGAAATTAAAATGTTGAGCCGTTTTTGAAAAACCAAAAAAAAAAAAATGGGGCATAGGAAAATAATTAGGATAGGAAAAGGACTGGAGAACTTGGAGAAGAAGACTTGGAAGAGGAATAAGATTTGGAAAAGGAAAAAGACTTGGAAGAGGAATAAGACTTGGAAAAGGGAAAAGAATTGGAAGGAATTTAGAAAAAAAGTTTTAAAGATTAAAAGGAAGCCCCCCTAACTTAGAAGATAGAAATAAAGAATGAAAGGAAAAAAGAAAGTTACAAAAGTGTAAWAAAGATTAAATATAAAATGCAATTAAAGCAGACAAGAGGAGGCGGAGGCTGGGGCAGGAAGGAAGAGCCCCGGCGCGCCCCAGCACCCTCCTGCCCCCCGCCTGGGGGCTGCAGCCCCGCAGGACAGAAGCCCCTTTGTGGGTGCCGGCCGGGGTAAGGGTCCCGGCACTCACATCCGTCTGCAGCTCCCAGGGGACGCCTCCGGAGCAGGACAGGGACATGCAGCCCGCAGGCAGCCTGGCCCCCTGCCAGCTGCCTCGTCCCCACAGTCAGGGCATCCGGCAGCAGCCCCCCGAGATCACCGGCTCCCCTACCTTTCAGGGCAGGGCAGGACGCTGTGTCCCGCTGCCCCACCGCTCCTGCCCGGGGATGGCATTTGCAGCTGGCAGTGACCCCTGTGAAGGGACACCGGGTTGGGGTACGGTCGGGCAGGGGGAAGGAGCTCCAGGTYGCTCTGTGGGCTGCTCTGCAGGCTGTTCCCCGCCGGGGTGACACTCGACTCTCCCGGTGCAGGCATGGCTGCGGCTCTATGGATACCTGCCGCAGCCCAGCCGCYGGATGTCCACCATGCGCTCGGCTCAGACCTTCTCCGCGGCGCTTGCCGAGATGCAGAAGTTTTATGGCATCACCGTCACCGGCGTCCTGGATGAGGAGACCAAGGCGTGAGTTTCTCCATTGTCCCCTTGCTCGAGCAGATGGCAGCTCCACTCCTGGGCTCTGTGGTTTTCTCTGACARCCCCAGGGCTCTGCTTGCACCTGGAAAAGTGGATGCTGTCCCCCTTGGGAGCTGCATCTCCCTGCTGTCTGTGGGCACAGTAAACCTGCGGGGACCTTGGCTGTGGTGGGCTGAGCCGTGGCTCGGTGTCCTCCTGGCAGGTGGATGAAACGTCCCCGCTGTGGGGTCCCAGACCAGTTTGGGGCACGGATGAAGTCCAACATGCGTCGGAAGCGGTACGCRCTGACAGGACGGCGCTGGAGCCAGAACCACCTCACCTTCAGGTACCCAGCGCTGCCAGGGATTCCCTGCCCCCAACCCATGGAGAGCCATGCATCCCCCAGGCAGGGAGTGCTGCTCCAGGCCTTCCCTAGCGAGTTCTGTATCCCCAGCATCCAAAACTACACGGAGAAGCTGGGTCGCTACCACTCGTACGAGGCTGTCCGACGAGCTTTCCGGGTGTGGGAGCAAGCCACGCCACTGGCTTTCCGGGAGGTGTCCTACGAGGACATCCTGCAGAAGAGGAAGAAGGAGGCTGACATCATGGTGCTCTTTGCCTCTGGATTCCATGGAGACAGCTCTCCCTTCGATGGGCTCGGGGGATTTTTGGCTCATGCCTATTTTCCCGGTCCTGGGATGGGGGGGGACACTCATTTTGACTTGGATGAGCCCTGGACGCTGGAGAATGCGGATGTGTCTGGTGAGTTGGGGGCCAAGGAGGTGGTAAAGGTGACCAGAGGAGTCTGGTGGCCTTCCGAGCTGAAGAGGGAGGGGGGCTGTGTTGGTGTGGACAGCAGTGGCAGGGAGAAGCAGGTCCACCATGGGTGGTGCAGGCAGATCCYACTGGAGCACCCCATTGYGGGGTGCTGGGTCCAGGGTTCTATMKTATRTGTCATATCCTCCACCCCTCTYGCTGACRGTGCCTCTYCRTGCAGGGAACAACCTTTTCCTGGTGGCTGTGCACGAGCTGGGGCACTCCCTGGGCTTGGAGCACTCCAGCAACCCCAGCGCTATCATGGCCCCCTTCTACCAGTGGATGGACACAGAGAACTTCCAGCTGCCCGAGGATGACCTCAAGGGCATCCAGCAGCTCTACGGTGAGGAGCTGGTTGGGGGATCAGCCCAGAGGTGGGATTTTTAGCATGTGTGGGGAGACTGAGGTACAGGTGCTGCTGGTCTGCATCACCACATCCCTTCTCTCACCCGCCCTGTCCAGGTACCGCAGATGGGCACCCTCAGCCCACCAGACCTTTGCCCACCGTGACACCCCGGAGACCTGGCAGGCCAGACCAGAGACCCCCTAAACCTCCCCCTCCGGGAAAACCAGAGCGGCCACCCAAACCTGGCAGCCCAGACCGACCTGACCAGTATGGCCCCGACATCTGCGACGGGGACTTCGACACAGTGGCAGTGCTGCGTGGGGAGATGTTTGTGTTCAAGGTACCYGCCAGGATCCCCTCCTGCCCCTTCCCTGAGGATGTAGTGAGTCTGTGGGGGAGAGGACCCCTCAGCAAGGTGACTGTGTCCCTGTGCCCTCCCCATCCTCTGCCCACACCCCATCTCTCCCCAGGGCCGGTGGTTCTGGAGGGTCCGGCACAACCGGGTGCTGGACAACTACCCCATGCCCATCGGACACTTCTGGCGGGGTCTCCCTGGGGACATTGATGCTGCCTACGAGAGACATGACGGGAGGTTCGTCTTCTTTAAAGGTGAGCAGGGAAGCTGGATGGGAGGGCTGAGGTGGAAACGAGAGCCTYAGTGCCCCCCACAAAACTGCTGGGAGCTGGTTGGCTTCATCCCATCCTGATC